CTGCTATTGCTATTGCTATTGCTATTGCTATTGCTCAGTGGATTGAAGAACAGCAAAAATCTAGTCTGCACACCCTCTGCCTGGCATAAAGCCACAGTGCACTTTCCAAATGTATGCACTGTTCATATGTTATCAATCAACATTCTGCCAAACACTCTCCCCTTGAACAATTAGAACAATTATCTAATCCCCTTGCCTTATACTTTTTGCATTCACTCCTTCTAAGAGCTCTGGTGGGGCAGTGGTTAGAATGCAGTACTGCAGGCTAATTCTGCTGACTGCCAGCAGTTTGGCAATTTGATTCTCACAGTCTCAAGGTTGACTCATCCTTCCATCCTTCCAAGATCAGTAAAATGAGGAGCCGGATTGTTGAGGGCAATATGCTGACTCTGTAAATCGTTTAGAGAGGGCTGTAAAGCAATGTGAAATCTACAATAAGTCTAAGTGCTATTGCTATTTCTATTAGTATTCTGCCTTTTCTTCATAGAAGGAAACAATGATAGGACCCTTCCTCTTCTCAATGCAGCCTTCATTTAGGTTAAACAAGCCCCATTTTAAGTAGAACATGTCCATAACTGAGCATTTATTCACTTACAGTGGCAGCCTTACAATTTTCCAATACTCTTATAATAATTAGAATTTTCTTTTCATTCATTATTGTTTTTAAACATTAACATTTATAGCATTTGTTTCAGTTCCGCTCTTCTTCCATATAATCCTACCGTTCCCATCAAGTCTGTAAAGTGGTATTTCTACATTCCCTCACTTCACTGTCATCCCTAATTTTTCCACCACTATTATTTTTAGTTCTGTTCATTCATTTAAATGCAAGCCCTCACAATCTTTATTCAATCTGACTATATTCTTTGCAACTTGCTTTTTCTTCCTATATACATTACAGTGGTGGGTTGCGGGTACCATTCTGGTATGGTGCTCCGGAGGGCCCACCCGCCCACCTGCGCTCCTTACCTGTCTTTAAACTCTTCGGCACTTCCACGCACGCACATGTTGCATACAGCGCCTGTGCGATGCTACGCCGAGCAGCTGGAGCATCACGAAGGCTTGCCGAGGCATCACTGGACTATAAGGCGCATGTGTGCACTGCATGCGGGTGCGCACACACCATTCCCGTTCATGTGGAAGACACTGGGCCCCGTTGCAACTGGTACACCACTGATATATTAAGCCAAATGCAACTGGAACAGCTTGACTTTAAGAGAACCATTTGGACTTTATTGTACACTGTTAAGATTTTGTTTTTCCAGGCCTCTGGGGCTGAAGCGGTATTTGTAGGATTGTCTTTTTGTTGGACCATGTTTATGCTTAATGTTGCAAAGGGTTTTTAATTTAAATTATTATGCCAATACCTGAATTCTCGAGGATCGTCTTAATCCTAACCCTAACTCATATTTCCAGCAAAAATAGCAAAAATGATGCTAAATATATAATTATAATATTATAATTAACAACCTGGACAATTAAATACTGATCAAACTTTAAAAATCATCAAATAAAGAACTGCACCTTGTGAAAAATAATTCATCCACAAGCTGTTGGAGAGGAAAGTTGTGTGCTTCTCGTATACTTCTAGTAATGGTGGAACAAAGAGAAAGTCTTCTCTTGGTAGCTTGGATCCTCTCAGACTTCCATGGAATAGTGCAGTCTTTCAAATTGTGAAAGCCATGTAGTCATGAAGGCCCCCTCCATGGCTGATATATTCTCATAAGTTCTATGTCATATTCATTCTCATAAATCATATGCTGCCTATGCTCCCTATATTTGTCTCAGGCCAATAATCTGATCATGGTATTCTGGATAAATTGATGTTCCCAAACAATATTAATTGCAACTAATACACTGACTGCTGCATTCTACTTCCACTTTGGTCCACTCCCGGCACGAAGAGAAGGGCGTGCTCTGATTGGTTATGCGTCAGACGGCGCTGGGTATAAAAGAGTGTCAAAAGTGCTGAATGGTTGGTGTGGTAGTGAGCCAAGCAGCCACTGGTTAGAGTTAATTGTAAGTCTAAACAAAGTCTGTTAGCCTTCAGCTCAGTCTGTCATCCCGAACATTGGGACAGATCAATTGGCGACGAGGATGGGATTCATCCCAAACAGACCTGCTGAATTGAAAGAATGTGCTCCAACATTCATTGGAATGCTGAAGTTATCGGGGGGGAAAAACTTTTAAATGCCTACAAGTCATAGAAACACTTTAAATGATATTATCTGTAGTTTACATATTATAGAGCCGAGGTGGCGCAGTGGTTAGGGTGCAGTACTGCAGGCCACTTCAGCTGACTGCTATCTGCAGTTCAGCGGTTCTAATCTCACCGGCTNATATATTAGTTTCACTTTTTAAATTGCATTACTGAAATAAATGAACTTTTGCATGATATTCTAATTTTTCGAGTTTCATCTGTATACTTTGGTAGGAAAGTTTTAAATTCCAATAGAAGGCACCCAACATGGACAGTTGAAAAGAAGGAACTCTGCACCGGCAGAAGTTTCATGATCCATTTGACTGGTGAAGTTTTATCTACGCAGGGAAAACTTTCAACTCCTCGGTTGAACATAAATTTTGTCAGAAAAGAAAGCAATTTTTTTTTGGGGGGGGGGGGGGAACTGCCCAAAGTTACTGGTAATTGGAATAAAAAATGTTAACCGCTAACTAAATACATAAATAAACTTTAAGCAACTCATATTTGTGCCATCCCATAAACTAAAGGTGAAAATTATTATTCATGCAGGCAGTGGTTAGATGACTTACTTGACCTGATGAATATGGAATGGTATCATGAACTCACTGGTTTTTTTTTCCTTTTGTGTGTCAACACCAGCCTCAGCATCTTATAGACACCAAGAAGCTTTGCACCTAGTGATGGATGAAAATCCATCTGGATGAAATTCCATTTATAGTTAAATATATATATATGAGGCAGAAGGGTAAGCAAGCATTCCACATATGTGCCTGAATAGTTCCTGTCCCTTTTTCCTATTTTCCAATACAACCATGAATACAAGAAAAAATGTCCCAGATCCCTTGGGTTTTTCCCCCACTGATTTTGTCAGCTAGGGAAAAATGTGGAAGAATAAAGTCAGACACTAACTTAGGGAAAGATACAAATATGTCTCTTAAATGCTACATTCTAATGGCTTTAATTGAAGTATTCTAATAAATTTTCTCTGTGTTACTGAATATTATTGCATCTTAAAATTCTGTTCCCAATGTTCACCTTTGAATAACTTGACTGAAACAGAGTTCTGCTTGCAAGAGTCTTCCTAAATGCTTCAAACACAATCCTTTTAGTAGTTGTAGCAAACATACATCATCCATGTAAAATTCAGTGTGATCTGAAAATTAAACATAAGTGAGTTTAAAATTACATCTATTATAATGAAAGTTGTGAATACAACAAATTGCCAAATACCGTAATTAACAGTTTTATATCTATTTTATATCTATTATATACAGTAACAAAATTAATAAAAATATTGTTTAGTAATATTTAATTCCAGTATAAAGCAAAATATCTATAAAGTATATCTTAATACTGGAATGTTCCAAAATAAAGCAAATCTTCTATCATTCTCCCACTTCCCTTCCTTAATTCATATTCAATTATTGGTCAAAATGGTAGCTGCAGAAAAAGACACAGTATTAAACATGTGAGAAATCATGAAAATGGCTCTATTAATTTCTATGTTTAAAAAGATGAATTTAATATTTTAAATACTATTTAGTATTTATTTATATAGCCTTGAAATATTTGATAATTTAGTTGATACAGGGTCTCCCTGCATAATATTTTTATTACATTTGCTACCTGTAATAGAAAATTGAAGCAAAATGCATCATCAGTTTTGCTTTGAAAACCATATTTCTGTTGTACTCAGAGGATCATTTGTATTATTATTTACAACAAGAGTTCTCTAACCCTTTGTTATTGCATGTTTAGAATTTTAAAAACCACACCAGCCAGGCTCAGTCAACATCTATTGTCACAACAAAACCTTGCTCTTGTTTCATATTTACTGCCAACCAACTTAAGACTATATAACCTTTGAAAGAATGAAAAGTATAGTTAACAAGAGGATTTTTTTCTAGCATATGGAAAACTGAGTTTATTAATATTCTAAATACATTTTTATGTATGTGAGTGTATGTGTGTATAAAATATGATCCTTGCTTAACATTATCAAGCAAAAGCAATGTGTAAAGGTAGGATTTATCAATGTGAGTTTCTATGGATTCATCAGAATTGGGAGTGTATGAAAAGAACAGGTATTTATATAGCATCCAATAAATAAAATATATGTTTATTAAATTCAGAGGAATGCAAATGTCTCTCTTCTTCATAGAATATTTAAATATACTCAGTTACATTTGTTTTGTAGTTTGTATCTTATAAATCAAAGTAAAACTCACGGGTTTCATTTTTTAAAATTGTTTCTTCTTTTTCAATAGTTATTAACATATTTTCAGTGAAGTCAGCTCTCTTTCCAAGAACTGAAAACCCACTCCAGACATACATCATTTCCTGAAAAAAGGAGTCAGTGAATGAAAAGTACTTATTTACAATAAGTTTTCTATTTACTTCTGAATAAAGCTAAATATTTAGCATTTAGCATTAATATTTCTTTCAGTGTAAATTAATAGCAGAACTTTAAAATGTAACAAATTATTCTCTGAATCTAGCTAAAAAGAAATTATTAATATAAAGGAAGCAGATATGAAGATGATACACATCCTGAAAAATTGCAAATTTAAAATTAATACTTTTTCAATAAAAAATGCTAGATTTTAATTTTCGCATTTGTCCTCTTGAACATTTTCCTGTTTGGAAACTGGAATAAAAATCTAAGTATACAAATACTCATATAACTTACTTGCAGCACAAATCTATATTTATGAAATATTAAATGATAAAATATTTTATAAATAGGATCACGTTGATTATAATTGTAGCAGCCTGTAAATTATAGATGCTTCCTTTAATATTTATTATGTAACTTGGCTCATAACAAAGACTGAAATTGAATAGATCCTGTATCTATGTATCTCCAAAGTTTTAGGGAATGAGCTTGGCAGACATATTACATTATTAATTAGAATATATATTCTGCACAATTTGCTAATAATTTATGTTCAATACCTAGCCTCTCAAGAGTTGGAAATATTATAACTCACATGGCAAGCAACAGTACATTGATATATAAGTTCCAGTAAGATCATACAGTTCTAAGTTTATCTTACAATGTTTAGGAAATGTCAATAGATAGGTTTCTTCTATGCTTTATCTAATAAATAAATTAGGTTTTCCATGATAAAGCTAAATGGGAATCTAATTTTCCTTAGTTATGTACTATACATACACACAAACACATATTTACTCTGTCACTCAAAAGATGATTGAAGTAAGTCTGCTGTAAATACCAGAGCAGGCACTATTAGTTTCACAGGAGGAGAGGTCCCATAGCGTCGTGCTTTCCTCACAGCAAACTTTTCAGTTGGGATAGATTTTCCTGCAATTCTTTGCTTTAAGCCTTCTACTTGCCTATAAGAGGGAAAACAGTACTTTCTTTAGACACGGAGAGCTCACATTGTTGACTTTTGCTTTACTGATTCCATTTCAGCAATCCCTAAACCAATAATAAGTTCTACTGAATAATAAAGCCTAGAGAGATATTTTAGTTTTAATTTATAATATTTATTACCTGCTGTGTAATTTTAGAAATAAAAATGGAAGACTATCACAGAAAATTATAGCAAATTAAACTGATGAAAGTACATTAAACACAACAACATAGATCAAATGAAACTTTGAATGAACAGATGAGTCTTTAAAAGATACAGAAAAATGTAAAGCAGAGTTTCTCAACCTTGGTAACTTGTTCTGACAAGCCAACATGTTCTGAGAAAATTCTAAGAGTTGGGAAATTCTGGGAGTTGAAGTCCATACATTTTCAATTTGCCAAGTTGCTCTAAAGAATCAGTGCCAACCCTAGCAGAATTCCATAATCATGATATCTCCAGGTAGGAAGACCTCACTATAGAACATAAATTTCATCTCAAAAATGTGCAAGAAAGCAATGAAAGAGACAGAAGACCAAGAACAAAAGAAAATATCACTGGAAAGGAAAAAGGATCAAAACAATCAATCTAATCTGATAGGTGAAGCAGTGAATTGAAATCATTCATGTAGATCCTAGTAATAAAGGTTTGTGAACAACATTTAGCTTATTGTCTTGTAGACAGGAAGGTTTTCAAACATGCTTGACAAAATGCTTCCACAGTAGTAAATCTAAAAATTTCTTTGAAAAGTTACAATGTAAAAAATGTTAAATCCTTTTTTAGGCTCTCTTTTTGTATATTTGGAAAAGAAAATGATAAGATTGTTATGAAAGCATTCCAACTAATAAACCATAGATAAGGAAAGAACAGAGGTTCCTAAGATGTCTCATGTTTACCGTATTTTTCGGAGTAGAAGATGCACTTTTGCCTCAAAAAAGAGGCTGAAAATCTGGGTACGTCTTATACATCGAATACAGCATTTTTTTTGCCTCCCAAAGCCCTTCACCAAAATGGCCGTGCATATCGTTATGGAGGCTTTCAGAGAGCTCCTGGGGGCTGGCGGGGGCCAGAAATGAGCAAAAAATGGGCAGTTTTTTGCCCCTCTGGCCCCCAGCAGCACTCTATAAGCCTCCATAAGGCTATGCATGCAATTTTTTTGACAAAAACAGGCCGTTTTCATAAAAAATGGGCCTTTTTTGCTCGTTTTTGGCCCCCACCCTGCACTCTGCAAGTCCCCCAAGGCTATTCCTGCCTTTTAAAAAGAAAAAGAGGCCATTTTCACGAAAAATGGGTCGTTTTTGGGAGGTTTGCAGAGTGTAAAAACGTTTTTTCCCTTTTGGAAAGCTCTTTAATTGATTGATGAGAATTACATTGATCAAGTGCTGTGCCAGCAGAAAGAAAGTCTTAGGTGCTGCAGATTGTCAGAGATTTCCTTCTCCAGCACATGGATAAATACACCTGGAAACATCTACCTACCTNTGTCAGAGTCTGATAACAGCTCCCAAGGCTCTAGCCGAGTCACAACAGCACACTATGTTTAAATATATAATTGGATGAAATACTTGGACAGCATATATGTCACAGAATATTAGGATGGTCAAAAGAACAAAGATTAAGGCTTCACTTCAGCACAATATCAACATACTCTAATGAAAGGAAAACATTCCTGTGATTTCTCAGATGTGGTGGAAAAAAACATTTTATCAGATGGGCTGGAAGACAGAAGAGGAATTCTCAGACAATTATAGGACTTAGCCCAAACTCTACAAGAGTTTGTAGATTAAGCCTATTGCAAAGATTAATGGGTTTTGTAACTTGCAATTAAAAATAAGTATTTTCCCGTATAATATTTTTGATGTCAACATCAGCCAACATAAAACAGATTGGATTCCATAAGAATCTTCACATATGACTGAAAACAAGATTTTCTATCTTTATTTGACAATCACATTGTGTTTTACAATTTTAGATTATATGGATGAGTTAAATCATAGCAAAGTCCTCATGCTGCTTGGTGCAAGAGAGAAAGGAGAACTGGAAGAAAATGCTCTTGGGTCTGTTGATCATTCCTACTGCAACAAATCCATATTGAGAACGGCTACGTTGCTCCTGAATTGGAACCATTCAGTGGTGGGATTCAAATAAATTAACAACCGGTTCTCTGCCCCTAATGATTTCTTCCAACAACCAGTTCACCAAACTGTTCAGAAAGTTAACAACTGGTTTTCCTGAAGTGATGCGAACTGGCTGAATCCCACCACTGGAACCATTCAATATATTGAATATATTGAATTTCATGTCTGAAATTCCAGAATGAACTTTGGTACAGTAGTCCTCGATCGACAACTTGTTTGGGACTTCCACTCCCAAAATTCCCCCATCAGAATTGGAATTGATGTCCACACATCTTAAAGTTGCCAACTTTGATAAAGATACACAAAGTCAAGTTACCTGCTGTTCTATACACACATTAGAAGAGTGACATACCTGTTAAACAGAACATATGAAATTATGCATTAGGGACATGAGAATGTTAGCAGAAAGCTAAGGAAATCCATTTGGCTTTGTTAAGATTGCCACCTGCTGAGGAAAATCAAGCACAGCATTGCTCAAAGTTAATCATAAAGAAACTGAGAAGGAATGTTTTTAATTTAGTAACATTCCTTCGAATATTTCATCATCTGTAAAACTGTGGCCTTGGAAGTCCTGTCCATTATCAATAAAATGAAGATGATAATGGAAATGGGATCTGACTCAGTTCTATAGTTTCCACTGAGATCACCAGACTGGTCTTGAGGCAAGTTTAACACAGCATCGGACTTACCAAGAAGTACCAAAGTCTTTGATAGAAGGGCTGTACAATTAACAAAGCCCTAATTAGTGTTTGCTTAAGAATGAAAGCACCTCTGAATAGGAGCGCACAAATGACTCAAAATTTCAGGAGTAGGTAAAAATTCAGTCAGACCTAGTGAAGTATTTGGAATGGCAATACAGTCCCATAATCATAAATTTAGCCACAGCACTTCAAGTTTACAAAGTGTAAAACGACAAAATGTGTTCTCTAAACACACCTGGGTATCAAAAATTAGGTAAAATGTCCATGGAAGAACAAATTACAACTCTGTAAGTCCAGTCTGCAGAAATTAATTTATGGATTTGTTTACAACGCAAATGTTTTAGGTATATTCTAAAATACTTTAGGTATATTCTCATATGTGGTGTACTAATGGCTAGAATAAAAACAATGAATATTGGTGCCAAAGTCAGATCTTTTATTATCAACGAGTAACATAGATTGGCGTCAATACAGCTGACTCTGGGCTCCATGTATGCTTTGCATTTAAGAACCTTAAGATTTAAGGTTCAGGGAAAACCTGGGACCTTAAGAATTTTTCCACAATGAAGACTAGAAATGCAAGTTGCATTTTAAAACTCTCAAGAATTATATGCTAAATGTCAATTGAGAGAGCTTCTGACATTTATGCTATATTATGTATAATACATGATTATTCAAAAACATTTTATTGACCTACAGAATATTTATACCAAAATGTTTTGAAGCACCATTTCTTTGGAATCTGAAATGCCTTATGGCTATATCATACATGATCTTTAGGCAAATGTTTCCCTTGGGCAGCATTTTATGGAGACAAGATGCTTCACTCACTGTTCAAAGTTATAACATCACTGAAAAAAGTGACTTATAACTGCTATATCATTGTCATGTGATCAAAATTCAGATGCTTGGCAGCTGACTCATATTTATGACAGTTGCAATATCTTGTGGTCATGTGATCACCTTTTGCAACTTTTTGACAAGCAAAGTCAATGGGCAGCCAAGTTCACTTAATTGTCTTACTAATTTAATAACTGCAGTGATTCACTTAACTGTGGTAAGAAAAGTCGTAAATTGGGCCAAAATTCACTTAAAATTTCAGCAACAGAAATTCTGGGCTCAATTGTGGTTGTAAGTTGAGGTCTGCCTGTAGTAATTTGGCTGCCTAGGACTATTAGCTCTTTTTGGTTCAGGTTTTATCTGTCATTAAGGAGGACAGCTTTAATGTCATAGATTTTAGCAATGTTACTTACTGAATATTGTTAAAATGCTATAAACTGTGAGAAAGCCCCTCCCCCCCGTCCCCAAGTTGAACAGTTCTTATTTGTTATCAGATGTTCTACGGCTCCATATGCAGGCATTCAGGAAAGAGAAGCAAAGCAATATGTGAAAGCTCATTGAGAATATTTATTTATTTATAGTTTCAATATACTATCACATTCCTAAAAATACTTTGGCAATTTTCTTGCAATTGAATGTGCAACCTATTTAGTCATGGAAATGCTTATCTCTGCAGAATTATTTAAATACATGTTTATTCTGTTGCCTATCACAGAAAGGCAGGATAACAAAACTTTTGACAACTCACATGAAGGATTAGATATAATTTCTCTTCAAATTCTGCTCAAAAACACTACTGTAATTCTTGTGCTATACTGCAATCAACATTAAATCCTATGTATTCTTACTTAAAACTAAGCTCTGCTTAACCAAAATAGCGTTGTTTCCAAATAAATGTAGTTTACATTTTAGTTTATTCAATTTTTAAAACTAATTTGAGACAGCTTTACAAAATGCAGTGCAAACAAGACAAGAAAAATAGTAGCCAATTAACATCCACAGTAGTTGAATATTAAAATCAGTTCCAGAGCATGAATTGTTATTTTGATAGAAGCTGGACTGTTTTATTGCAATTAGCAAAATTTCTAAATCTATTTAATATATTATTTCCTGGCCTCGATAACAGTGCAAGTCAAATGGGAACCACAGCCACTATAACATACACGAACAAAATCCTTTTGTAACTTCTTTTATAAAAACATGTAATATTTCCTAATGGTTCTATCAAAAGGTGGGAACAATTACTGTAGCTCTTACTAAAGGTGTAATGCAGAATGTGGATATCTAAGCAACATAACACTAAAAGAATTAGTGTTAATATAGAGATTATAACCATAGAATAGTTGTAATATTTTAATGCAAAACTTAGTTGGAGTAAAACAGATTTAAGCCTAACTATATCCCTATGTTTAACATTCAATTCTTTAAATCTAGAAATGACTACATTTTTACCATGTTCTTGTCTAACAAAATGTAATAAGTTATCTAGTGACACTCACAGAGTTCTGGATGGGAAACTCTGGACAAAGAAACAAACACAAGAATGGCAATTTGTTATGATAAATGAAGAATACTTTTGTTCTAGATGTATGAAAGATCCCTAAGCAAGAAATAATTAAATCTCTTTTTAAACACTTAAAATTTGTAATTAGTTGAAATAATGTATTAACCATGCATTGTGTCACACAGACTAAAAGTATAAAAGTCACATTTGCTCAGTTAAATTGGTTTTACCATTAGTTCTTAATTAGAGTATAAGCATGTAGGAAAATTATATACAAAGTGTGCTCTTCTTCAAACTGGAAGGTGTTAAAAACTGAGTAAAAGAATAGATGGGAAAAAGATGATGTAGAATAAAATATAGTAAACACGCAAAATGTCATTGCAATGAGCTAATGGGGAAAAAACCCATTCATATAAGAACTCGTGCTACAAAAGCTAGAAGAAATTATCCTTGTGTTCCTATACTAGCTGCTTATGAACATGGACTTTGTGTGTGTCCATCAGTTTTGACAATTTAAAAAAAACTCTAAAAGCCCAGCTTTTCAATTCATTTAGCAGCTGATAAAATAATTTAAATACAGAAAGACAAAAACAAGGGGAAAAAAACTAATCTCAAACAGCTATAATAGATATGAAACCAATAAATATCTTTTATAGACAGTTATGGTCATTAAATAGACATTCTTGATTAGTCACATTTTTATTCTTATGGGAAAACACTAAACCTAGACAGGTAACATTTATAAATCCTCAAACATGGTCATTTGCCTCCAGACTCTGTGACATAAAATACTGCAACGTAACACATATATATTAAAAAGAGACTAAGATGAAGAATAAAAATATTTAATTACTAGTTTCTGCAAAACATTTTAAAAAATCTGATCAAGACAATATGCTAAATAAACATTATGGATACCAATTTCATAAGAAATATGAAATTGGGATTTGAGAATTTTGCTGCAATATATGGAAGAAAATAGAATCAAACCCGCTGACCTCCAGTGTTAATGAGAGACAGAGATGGTATTTAGCTGGTTCTCTCAAGTTTGGGCGAACCAGTAGCAGCGGCTGCGGGAGGTTCCGCTGACCCACCCCGACGTAATGTGAGCACTGCACATGCGCAAGTGGTGGTGCGCATGCATCGATGAGGCGCGGGCAGGCGAAGCTAGTGTGTGCACACACATTCACATTTGCGAACCGGTAGGAAAGGTAAGTGAATCCCACCTCTGATGAGGTGGGCATAAGAATCTTCAGAACATTAGCTGCATATTTTTATAGTGAATTCCCTGCAAGGTTGCTGAATTAAATAGATAAAATGGAACAAAAAACTGAAACATTTCTACTGTTTGGTTTTTGCTTTACTATAACCCTTTTCACTGATAAATATTTTCGTCCTATATTTTAAAAACACTCCTAGGTTATTGAACAAAACTCAAAGTCCTTTCCTAACTATCTTTAGAGATTGGGTCAGGATATTGCACTGAATGCAAGCTAACATTCATGAAATGACTTGAAGCATTATTTTTGCTACAGTATGGTAATTTGGTCTTTGGTATGTAAAACTAAGCTTCAAATCCAGATACAGCATCTAGGGCTACCAGCAGCCAATTTTTTTAATCCTATTACATAATAAAGGTATTGCAGAAATACAACCCTTTAGGCAATGCTGAAACTATTACCAAATGTATTGTACAGTTTCATGCATAAACAATATTAGTATTTCCATAAAAAAATAAATGTTTGAATTATTCTTTATTGTACCAGCAATTTTTAATATTCCCCTATTGTTTCAAGCATTAATCTTTCTATAAATAAAATAGGTTTCCTCTTAAATGTTAAGCAGAAATATGGAAATGAAGCATAGAAAAAAGAAGCATTCACAATGATGAGGCAGACATTCAATTATCACAAATGATAGAAAATATAAACTACATTTTTTGTTACATAATTTACATGATTTTTGTAGGCTTTTAAACATTAACTTGTACAGACATGTTAGACAACAACTTCAGAAGGCATCATGGTGTTGGAGCAGGAGTCACTTTCATACTGCTAAGTGCTGCATGGATTCTGAAATGTAATCTGGATTCCATGGAATAGTCCTTGTAATTGTTTCTAGAAAAGAATATTCAGTTTATTTGGTCATTTTCCATGCCCCAACCGGTCCAATAAAATCAAAGAGAGAAATTATGGATGAGATTTTTCCAGTAGAAATATTTTACAGGTAGTCCTCGATTTACAACCACAATTGAGCTCAAAATTTCTCAAATTTGAGAAATTTGTTAAGTGAGTTTTGCCCCATTTTATAATTGTTCTTGCCACATTTGGTGAACCTGGCTTTCCCATTGACTTTGCTTGTCAGAAAGTCACAAAAGATGATCACAAGACGCTGTGACATTGCAACTGTCATAAATATGAACCAGTTGTCAAGCTACTGCAATGGTCATAAATGTGAAAAGTGGTCATAAGTCAATTTTTCAGTGTTGTTGTAACTTTGAACAGTCACTAAACAAACTGTTATAAGTCGAGGACTACCTGTATGTTTTAAATTTTAAGCATGCTGCTGGCTAAAGAATTCTGGGATTTGAAGTCCACCCATCTTAAAGTTGCCAAAGTTGTGAAACACTGTCCCAATCTATACTCTCATTATCCAATGTTCTCTATTAGTTCTTGCTCAAATACAGAAATCCCACCTTAATTTTTACTCTCAAATATCTAAGTTTCAAGTTTCCTAGTAATCAGATGGTTGTATTTTAGTTTATAAGATCTTCTAGAAGAAACCTTTGAAATTTAATGTCAATTCTCCTATTTTCAGTTCAGAGAGTGTGTTCTTCAACTGTTTTCTCCATCGGGCTCCTGCAACAGCTTTTATACCTTTGGCATTTGTGCAAGCTTCCTCTCTAATGTAAAAGTAGCTTAATCATTTGGAAATATAGTTTGATCTCTTGTGTCAAGAGGTAAGTATATAAATGTTTCCTGTTTTTTTTTTCAATCAGCAAGATATCTTGAACCAAACTTATTTGGATGCAGTAGCAGTAACTATGTTAAAGTATTTAAGCAAGCTGAAAACAATATATTTTATATATTTATTGATTATAGTTGTATAAAATAATTACTACTTACTTTGCAGCTTCTATAAATCTTACAGCTTTTTGTCTTTCATCCTGTTGTTTATAAAGAAGACCCAATTCAAATGTTGAATATGGAACTAAGTAGGTATCATACTTTAATTGCTTCTCACTAAAATGCAAATAGACAAATTATTAAGGACCAAAAAAAAAGGTTTGTTAAAACGCTTCATTGAATATATCTATAAAAAATTACCAGTTACATTAGCTACCTTATGCCTTTCTTAAACCATGTTTATACAGGTGAAACTCAAAAAATTAGAATATCGTGCAAAAGTTCATTTATTTCANAATATTATTTGATCCATGACTCTGTTTTATTTAGGTTGTGGATCATGTAGAGCAGGGATATCAAACTCACATTGTCATGACAGTGTCACATGACATATTGGGACCTTTTCCCCTTTCACTAAACCAGATGTGGGCATGGCCAGTGCACCATGCATCCGGCCCATGGGCCGAGAGTTTGACATTCCTGTTGTAGAGATTTGTACTCATGCTGAAGTGTGAGTAGAAATCTCTATGTCAAGAGTGTCAAACTCATGTCATCATGGTGGTATATTGTGACATATCGAGACATTTTCCGCTTCGCTAAACTGGGCGTGGGCATGGCCAGCGCATGACGCATCCGGCCCACAGGCCGGGAGTTTGACAGCCCTTCCCTATGTGATCTACAACCTAAATAAAAAAGGGTCATGAATCAAAACGCAACTATTTTTGTGTTCAAGTGAATGCACATAAAGGCCCCCCTCAAGCCTTCACACCTCATTCCCAGGAGTGAGGTGAGGTCAGTATGGGATACACCATTGTTTTCTCTCCACTTTCAAGCACAGGGCTAAGCCTATGACATTTCACCATAGCCTTCTTTGTTTACATTCTCTCCTTTCTCCAGTGAACAATGTATCTATTTCCTCTCTGTCTCTATAGCCTTGTCAGAATGGGACAATGGGCCACAACCAACTTGCTAGTGTCAACTCACCATAGCCAACTCACTACATCCAACTTGCCACTAATATCAAAGAAATGGTGGAATCGAATCATTTAAGGATGCCAAATGAGGGACAGAAAATAATGTGAATGACAAAAATTTAAAAAAATATTTCATTTTGAATAACTAAATTGAATTGTTAAATTGTCCTCCAGTGAGTTGTCCCACAGCAATTTGGCTGTGGTGAGTTGGCCATGGCAAGTTGACACTAGCAATTTGGTTGTGGCACATTGTCCCATTCTGACAAGGCTATAGACAGGAGACAGAGAGGAAATATATACATTGTTCACTGGGGAAAGGAGAGAAAGTAAACAAAGAAACAAGTCAAGGGGTAAGTTCTGTTAATATAACATTTTTTTTAGCAGTTGGTGACAGCAATTATATCCATTATTTGTAAAATCTGCTTTATTAAAAGCAATAGTAATAAAAAGGTTGAAGATTTTAAAACTAAAGATTTAAATACTTTGTGTCACCTTCTTCTCATAGCCCTATAATTAGATAGTCAATGAGATCCAAAGATGATCCAAACGCATCCATTATTTATTCCTGTCCTGATAAGCAGAGCTCGTAAGCTGTTTTAAAAATTCATAACAATAGAAATTAAATGTAATACCCTATTGCCTGAAAACCCAATAAATTCAAGAAGTCGGAGAATTCTTCCTGGTAAAAGGGACAGCATCTGCAAAAAAGGAAAAAAACAAAGATTCCATCTGTTTTTAATGCAGCAGGAAAAACAAATATTTAAGTTATTGCGTAATAGCTTTAAAAATGTTCAGCACTATCTTCAGATAACATTAATAAAGTCCAAATGACTTGATGTTATGCTTTTTACACTCAGCATTTTTTTAAATTATATGTGGGGAATTGTATAATGGTTTTATATTGTAGATTTTGTTTAAACTTGTTTAAACTTGCTTTCTGCCCAGAGCCATGGTGAGAGGAACAACCATATAAATTTAAAATAATTAAAAAAAAAAACCTCTCAGGCAGTTCTGCATTCAAATAAAACAGTAAAACCACAAAGATGCATTATGAAATTTGAAGAAGTTTGATTACACATTGGAAGGAATACTCATACCAGATTGAAAGCTCCTATTCCTAGTTGTACACCTCCTTCATATTGGTGGAATATTTCATTCCTGATTTTGCTGCTTTGGGTCATCTGCAGAACGTGAAGGCATTCCCTTTTGATTAACAAAACAAATCATGCTAATTTAAATAACAGCAATGATAATATGAACTATTATTACTTTAAAGGTTTAGTTTATCATGCTATACCCTACATCATGGGTGTCACTTGGTTGGACTGCAATGAGTGAAGAGGAATTGTCTTAGGTTGCATATGAAACATATAATATAATTAATGTATATAAATAACAAACTTCCTTTTTTAATATTTATTGTATCTTGTGGGGCCACATTACTCACTGCTCAGGGATGCAGGCCTATCCTACATCTTTGTCTAAATTTAAATGTACAGATACTTGCCAGAACATTACCATAAAAATTCACATCAATTCAAGCAATTTCCATTATTTTATATTCTAGAATCCCAAATCTGTGATTTCAGAGTAATTTGACCAATGACACCCAGTATCTGCCTACATACACTGTAATAACAGTGTATTAAATGCTTACTTAGTATCTTTATAAATTTACAAATCTGAAAAAGGAGGCATAAAGGGGAAAGAAAGGTGAAAAGACTATTACAAGCTCTCACAAGGGTTATTTTTTGTATTTTATAAATTTCTTTCTATAATTCCTGATAACCTAATTTAAAATCAGAAGCCAGGTTTTTTTAAACACACACACACACACACACTCATATATCTATAATCTGATATTAGCTACAATCCCTAGCTAATTTGAATGGATGGAAGAAATGGAAAAAAATACAACCAGGAGCTTATAATTTCTGATACCGTTTTGTAGATTCATTCATATTTCAATTTCAATTTTAATGGATTTTTATGCCGCCCAATCTCGAAGGACTCTGGGCGGCTTACATAAAAACAGTTTAAAAAAAACAAATACTAAAAGAGTTAAAATGCAAGACAGAGCGAATTAAAAAATGACACAACATATTCTCGATCTTAATGGGGCACAATCAAGATCAACAGCCCCAGGCCTGCCGGAACAGCCAGGTCTTAACAGACTTTAGGAAGGCCGAGAGAGTGGGGAGGGTCCAGATCTCAGGGGGTAGATCGTTCCATAGGGCCGGGGCAGCTACAGAGAAGGCTCTCCCCCAAGGAGCCGCCAGATGACATTGTGTAGTCGACNCTCTTTAATTGATTGATGAGAATTACATTGATCAAGTGCTGTGCCAGCAGAAAGAAAGTCTTAGGTGCTGCAGATTGTCAGAGATTTCCTTCTCCAGCACATGGATAAATACACCTGGAAACATCTACCTACCTACCTACCTACTCTCTCTCTCTCTCTCTCTTCTTTACCTATCTATTGTATTTCTCCCTCTCTCTCTCTCTCCCTCTACCTACCAACCTACGTACTCTCTCTCTCCCTATCTACTGTATTTCTCCCTCACTATCTCTTTCTATTCCTCTCTCTCTATCCACCTACCTACCTACCTACCTACCTACCTACCTACCTACCTACCTACACCCTCTCTCTCTCCCTACCTACTTATTGTATTTCTCTCTCTCTCTCTATCTCTCTCTATTTCTCTTTCTCTCTCTCTTCCTTTATCTATCTATCTACCTATCTAACTACTCTCTCTCTCTCTCCTACCTACCTACTGTATTTCTCTCTCCTTCTCTCCTTCTATCTACCTACCCACTTTTTTTAAAATTTGCCTCTTCAAAACCTCGGTGCGTCTTATACTCCGAAAAATACAGGTATATGTTTTCAAAAGCGACAAATCTTATTGAATTACATACAACTATATCGAAAGTACAATTTGTAAGGGCCAAAGTATGCAATTTGATTAATAGAATGACAAAAAAATTCATGCAAGGAACTCCAAGTATTTTACTCTAATGAAGCTAATTTCCCAAATTTTAAAAGTTAAGTCAGGAACTTTCTAGCAGAATGGAGCAAAATCTTGATTTTAGTAACAAATGTGTCCAGTCTTAGTTGCAATATGGATTCCCCAAAAATGTCTCTCATGAGAGATCAGCAGATTTCTCACATTGGATGTGAAAACTTTTAATTAATTATAATTATCTCTATATAATCAAGATAAGAGCAATGGCTGAAACATTTTTAACTAAGGGTAGGACATGTCAAGAATTTATTTTATATGCCATCATCCACTCTAGAATATAAATTCAAGTAGCAGAGAAAACTCTCTAGCAAACCCTTAGGAAAGGTCCCCCCCTTCCAACCATAAGGTTACAAATAAATTATCAAATGAGCAGTTTTGAGGCAATAATAGTAGGCAAAAAAGATGAAATTTTCAAGATATAGCTTAAAAGATCAAGTTTTAAATAAATTCTTTTCTTTTGAAAAGTATTACCGAAACAAAGCTACAATATCTTCTCCTGTTGTTTTCACATCAGCATCAGGAAGCATAAGCAAAATGGCAGCTTTCTGGAATACATATATTGCCTAGGCAAAATAGAATAAAAATATTCAATATATAGTTTCTTACAATGTATCTGATCACAGTTGTTTCCTTGTACACATTGCGTGATCACAGAGGTATTAAGCCAAATTATTGTTCCATTAAAATTGCCCTCAAAGTTTTGTGCTACACAAAGCACAGGTGCCTGTGGTAAGCAAAAGGGGAGATAGTAGATGACAAAGTTTCTTGACACCACTAGCGTCTCTAATTATCTACTTGCGTCAGACATCTTGTATATAATTGTGTTATTTGCCTGATGACATAAGTAATGAATTGTTTTGACATAATTGTGACGTCTTAGAAATGCCCATGTTTAAGACGCCTTTTTTGGCAATGTGAATGAGGTCATAGGAAAAAGCAAGGGGCCATCTTACTGAAAAAAGAATCATAAATTGGAATTTGTTACATAATTGTCTAGCAATTATATATATTATTATGTTACATATTTGTCTAGCAAAGCATTTTTTTCTCAGTGGTGGTTACTATAATTTCCACTTTGCCAATTTCCCAGTTGCTAAAAATCAGTTACAATTAACGATTTCCTTTAAACAAATGTCGAGCTGAATAACATTTGAGTATTTAACCCAGGGAGGCTTTTATGATGGTACATTGTGTAAGCATGAAGTGCTCTCACCACTTCACAGCAGTACTGGGTTACCCATTTACCTTTGACCACCTGCTTTCTTTGCAAAGCAGATCTGCATACCGATATGCTTGAAGCCAGTTCTGCTGGAAGGAGTAACACCACATCAGTTCCCAGTAGCAGAGATGATGGATCTGTTTCAACTCTTGCTGAGCAGCAATGCACTCCAGGAATGTTATCTCACCCTGGAATTTAAAAGGAGAAAAAAGTCAAACCATATAAAAGTAAACTTCTCATTCAAATTATGGCGTTTTATTTTCATTTTGTATAAGAAGATAGATAAAATAATATAATGAACTTTATGGTTCATTATTTTAGACTATTCAAGCAAACAACTGCAATTTGCTGTTATGTGTGGAAGGCAGAATGGACATTAATTAATTGCCAGTAAAATAAGCCTGTGTAAAAGTTTAAGACGGCTTTATAACAATGGTCATATCTAGCAAAGAAAAGAATACATTTGATTCTTACATAGGTTAAACTTTTATGAGGGTTTGCCATCTCACATGAAAAACTGAAAATATGAGGACTTGCTTCTTATGAAAGTAAACTTTAACATTGATATTGATATTCCCTAACTTGGTGGAGTAACAGCTGTTTGGTTTTTTTGTTTTTGGCTCTTTCCACTGTCAAATGTTATTACTGAATTTGATCATTATGAGCATTTCACCAAACAGTGCTCAAGTTTTCCTTTTTTCCTCCATTTTTTCCTTTCTTTGATTCTTTTAAAGCTTGTGAGCAAGATTTTCTTATAACTAACGCAGAACCTCAGTTTTTATTTTAAAAAGGGGCAATCTGCTGTTACCTTTTCAAAATTTCCTTTCAATATGTTGATTCTGGCATCGTAAAACAGAAAGAGGGCACCCTTGGAAAAGATTGCAACTTTGTTAGTAAGGTAGAAGTGTTAACCACAGTAAAAAAAAATACTTAACAATGCGAAATCATAAAACCTTCGAGAACTTCTGAAGATAAGGTTGAAGGAGAGCCTCTGCTTCAATGAGATTGGCTTCCCCTGTTCCTGTAGAAATATCAACATCCTCTCTCAGTATTGATGACGATATAATACATTGATTCATAAAAGCTAATTAATATATATAGTGTTATTAGAAAACAATACTTAATATATAGTATTTTTAGAATACAATTAATATATAGTATTATTAGAAAACAATATTAGAATAAAACCTATTTTATTGAAATGTAATAAAAGTCATCATAGTACAGGTAGTCCTCGACTTATAACAGTTCTTTTAGTGACCATTCAAAGTTACTTCAGTAATGAAAAAAGTAACTTATGACCATTTTTCATACTTATGACAGTTGCACCATCCCCATGGTCACATGATCAAACTTCGGATGCTTGGCAACTAGCATATATTTATGATGGTTGCAGTGTCCTGCTGTCATGCGATCAGCTTTTGTGACTTTCTGACAAGCAAAGACAATGGGGAAGCCAGATTCACTTAACAATCATAACTAACTGTTACTAACATAACAATTGCAATTATTCACTTAACAATGGTGTCAGAAAAGGTTGTAAAATGGGGCAAAACTCACTTAACAAATGTCTTACTTAGTAACAGAAATTTTGGATTCAATTGTGGTTGAGAGTTGAGGACAACTGGTATAGTAAAAGATTACAGTATAGGAAAACATTTATAGTGAAACAGAACGCTGAAAGATATTATCAAACATTAGTTTTTTTAAAAAAATAAAGAAAACAACTTCAAGATTTAATGCTTAGATATGATTTTTTTTCTCATGCTCTTTTAATGAAATGAAGTATCAGGACCATAGTTAGAACGAAAGATGAAGTAGGAACAAAGCCAAAGGAAATGAAAATCTCTCTCCCTCTCAAAGCACAAGTATTATTTTTCTATCCTGAATCAACATTTGAAAGATGATCAAGTGTTAATATAGTTAATAAATGACCAGATTTAACTAAATCTAAAATAAATAACATTGGGAGTATAAGAAATATATGCAATAAAATGCTTCAAATAAATTTGAGTTCAGATCTATAATTATCTGTCCAGAGGGTTTTTTTTTAATTTCAAAAGAACCTATTGTTTTTAATGTAAGATTGCTTTTAAATACAGTAGATGCTTCTTCCCTAATGAGATCTAGATAATTTATGAAAGAATGATTGAACTCCTTTAAAATTAAGTTGTAGCTTTTAACCCATTCTTTATCAAAATAACTTCAGTAGTAGTGGAGTTTTAATCATTATTTAGTTATCCAATTCTATAAAAATCTCTTATCTCCCATTCTGTGTACTGATGAAACTGTTTATCTTCAAAAAGTGTGTGAATGAAGAAAGATAAGAAACTAAAAACTATTTTTAATTTTTCCAAACATCTGAAGCAAATGTTAAATATGAATTAATTTGATACATTAGATATTTATGTTTTAATACTACCATAGGAAGTTCAGGGCTAATTTAATTTGCATTCTTGTTATTTGAATTCCTAAATGCTTTGAATTGAATGACATCAAGATGTTTCAAATTGGCATGCCTAATTCCAAATCCATCACACTATTGTTTATAAAAATCCTACATTTTAATTATAAATAAATGAACATTTATTTGATTTGTCATTCTTATTTCCCTCCAAAGGTGGGCTACAGGCAGGCTTCTATCAAATGTTAAAATAGCAAAAAACGTGGGAGCAAGCACTTTTTATCCTATGTAAAAAAAAGTGTTCCCTTCTTTCTTTTATCAAGATTATAGTTAATTAGGGCAGAATAAATGTCACTAATGTTAACTAATTTATTAATCTTAAATTCATTCTATACTGTAAACCTAGCCACTAGTGTTGCTGAAAATTCAAACGAAACAAATAAATACTAAGAATTATATTAGAATTTGTGATATACTGCATTATTTTTCACGTGGTTATTCACTTTTAATTCTTACCAAGGATTAATGAAACATAGGTATGATATAGCAGCAAGGTAAAAGTACACATTATTGCTCGTAAACTGGGACCAGAAGCTCCTTCCCGTAACTGATGAAGACCAAACTCCTGTCAACAGTCACAAAATTGTACAATATAAGTCACAATAGTCTATTATTTTAATAAATGCTAATAATTTCAAGAAAACACAAAAAAGAAATTTGAATGAACACAGCAGCAAGGTAGAATTCCAACTATATCGGTATCATTTGCAAGTGAAATCATGTAGGTCTTATGGATTATTCAATGGACTGAATATTATTTGATCCATGACTCTGTTTTATTTAGGTTGTGGATCATGTAGAGCAGGGATATCAAACTCACATTGTCATGACAGTGTCACATGACATATTGGGACCTTTTCCCCTTTCACTAAACCAGATGTGGGCATGGCCAGTGCACCATGCATCCGGCCCATGGGCCGAGAGTTTGACATTCCTGTTGTAGAGATTTGTACTCATGCTGAAGTGTGAGTAGAAATCTCTATGTCAAGAGTGTCAAACTCATGTCATCATGGTGGTATATTG